ACTTATAACCTAACACAGAACTGAGGATTTCCAAAAGAACTTTAAGACATAAGGCATGTTCTTTTAGCTGTGTTTGTATCAAAGATTAATTTTCTATTTTGAATATATTGATTTTGAATGTATAGATGTCATCTTGCAACAAAGGAAGATGTGTTGTTATTTAAGCTGAATTCATTCCTTTTTACTTATGTGTCCCGTAGAGAATACAACAAATAACTATCCCATACAAGAACAGAAAGTGATATTTACAAATGTTAATCAACGAAGAAAGGAGGTGAAAGCGCCAATTTTGTCCTGTAGCTTTTCTAAAGAGGCGTCAACAAGTCGCTTGCAGTCAGGGGTTATGTAAATGTTTCCAGCAGATATGCTAGAATACGTCGAAAATACCTCGTACAACAACAACAAATACATCATACCAATCGTCATCACAAAACTGAATCGTTCGCAACCGTTGACAAGCCAAATCGACTTAATCAAATTAATGATGCCGCCATTACGCAATTTTGATTTCCCTAGACAATTTAAGCGGTAGCAATTGAAGTCTTCCATATCGAGAAAGCTGTTATCGCCACTGCCGCGCGCATCCCGATTTTCTGCACCAAAATGACGCAGCTGTTGTTGAAAAATAACCTCGAGAAAAGGGCATTCAGTTCATCGTTTAGGCAGAATATCACGGCAGTTGTCAGAAATTCCAGTCGGCAAAAGCAAGGTTTTGCAGGGCACATTTTTTGTAGCGGTTTGCCAACTTCGTCATTTACCTCGTCTTTGTACAGCAGGCGACTTTTTAAATATAATTGAGGGATGGCGCGTGTTGCAACTTAATTCGCAAGGGTTAACCTGACCTTACGAGAGCGATGTGACAACCGAGCGCATACGCAACAACACAGGTCAATAAATGCACTTTATTCGTAAATTATGGGCATTATATAGCGCTGGCTACTTGCTCAAGTATTACATGACGTTAACGTCGTTCTCTAGGTCAATCCGTCCGCTATTCACGTATTCACTGGTTGCACTCTAGCACAATGGAGCAAACTGTTTGTTCACTGTTATTGACTACTATGTGGGTTTCTGGTATATCTAGCATGTGAAAATATCGATGCATTCTTTTGGACATAATAGTGTTATTACATTTTAATACAATGTGATGATGCAATGTGCACTACTTCTGCTGTTCACACAGTAATGTAGCGAATGGTTTAAATTGTAATATACATTACTAATCAAAAGATATGCTGCATCAGCGATCTATAATGACAATGCTAGTTTAAATGCCCGTGTGACTGACTTGTCAGCGAGCCTGTCGTTGCTGTGCATTGCATCTTGAAACTTTTAACGTTTTAGCAAAACGAAAATCTGCAGACCAAATGAAGACAGGCACTACTATGATGATTTTTGCGGCCTCATTTGCAGGTAAAGCGTGAACGTGGTGATTTCTTTATAAGAAGCATCGAAAGATTTGATCATACAAGTGATTGAATTCTAGGAGTAAATATACTGATTACATCTGAAGAGACAGACGATCGTGACAGTAGAGATTAGAGATTTCTAGTTTACTGCGTATCTGGCCATTATCAGATGTGCCTTATAAAAAAAAAACAAAATTTTGTTGAACCATTTGCCAGTCATGATTACTAAACTAAACTACATTCAACTATTGTGTTGAAAATGGGTTAATATTTTCGTCTTACCTTAAGTTTAAAATCCTAAGCAAACGTGGGTCTTAAGAGCCTAACTCTGTTTGTACCACCCTCGCGCTATATTTGATATTATCCAATGTTAAGGCTGGAGGTAATGCCACAATACGTACCTGATCATTTCAATGGCTGTGTGACTTATGTGGTGTTACCAGTTGATTCAGTGCAAGTACTGCTGACATTTATTAATATTCACTTATTAAGGCTGGGCCAATTAATAGTGGAGAAAGCTATTAGCATTGGTAAATTAATTACTCTCGCCAGTTAAACATTTCATCTGGCTATTTTTCGATTATTCACGTAACTCTGGAGATTTTACAACTTTAAATGTCTCGTATGGCAAGGTCGGCCATTGTCTAGCTGCAGGATGATCTTAACTTTCGATGCTTGTATGAAATTTTTTAGTAAAAACAGGTTTTGAATTAGGGATCATATATGGCTGGTATAAACTGCAACAGAACCCTTTGCTGGTAGATCCAGAAAGAAGAGGCGATTTATTCTTGCTGGATGAATTCAAAAAGACGTTTGAAAAAAAGGAAACAAAACAAGAAGAACAAAAGAAGCAGTAATCAGATTTTGTACAAGCTCGCCTGCCTCTTCATTGTGCATCAAATGCTCGATAATGTTGCAAAGTTTTGAATAAAATATTTGTAGTAATTGAAAATCTGACCGCATCGGCTATACGGATAGGAAAGTTTATTGCACAAAATTTGGATAGGCGCGTTTTTAACATGCTGTTGTTTGCCTTCTACAAGTTAACCCCTACATGTCCCACATCACCCCATAATAAATTGAATCGCCACAAGATGATTAGGTCCAAAACTGATGCTGTCACCGCAATACGCAGTTAGGATTGAAAATACTGCAACCTACGCTGTCGAACAGCATCGACAGGATTGCTGCTAATAGAACTTTTCGTAACATCATCGACTTTGCTTGTCCCTCGTTCTGACCTTTCTGTGGCATCATGTTTTGTTTCTTCCAGTGGTTCCGTCTGCGTGAAGCCGCTGACAGTGGTGAGTGGTCTAAAGTGGATTTATTTAATAAAGATTAACGATGTCCTGCAGTTACCTTACCTGACTGTAGTCACGATCGAGGTGTACTGCTGAAGCTGAATAACGGCAGCTTCAAGCAACGTCTGAATGTTTCTTAAGCTTTGGATTCTTGCCTCCACGGCCGCGCGCTCGATTCCTTCCATTCGCCGAACCTCTTCATCGCTGAGACCAGCAAAACTTGGTGGAGGGGGAAACGGAAAAACTATAAGCCGGATCGAATTATACATAGCATTACACCTACTAATCGAATGAAAAATCCAACGTTCCCTGCTCTGACGGAAATGGAGACTTAAGTATTTACCCAATAAAGACGCACTGTTATCGTGAACTATGAAATATCGCACTCTATAACATTTTGAAAGTAGAACATTGTTAAAAGCCATAATGGATCTTACCTTATCAATGAGAGAACGAACAAAAACTTGAAACTATTTGAAAGTTTTACAAAGTTAGATATTATATACGACGCTACCGGAGTGAAAGACGTGCTTGTCGAAAGCAGAAAGGGTATAGCAAATTACCGGCGACAACCATCGACTAGTATCCTCGCGGACGGAGTAAGCCAACGGGTCACCCTCCACGATGGTGGGAAGATTATATCAGGTGCCGGGGTAGTCGTGGAGGGATAAGGTTAAACCGCGTGGCGGGCCCGTTGCACCAGGCGCGATTCGTCGCCGATTGCTAGCCGGTCCAAATGATAACTTAACCAATATATATGCGGAAGAAAACATGATGCTTTTGTAAGTCACAAACGAGAAGAAAGCGCGTAAAATATTCTTTAAGGCCATTTGAGGTTTCGGACCAAGCTCGGCGGTCCGTCTTTAGAGTAAGTGGCACGTAATGTATTCAGTAATGTCTGGTTGACCCGCAAGCTTAATGGTGCCGCGTTTGCTTTCTGGTCTGAAGCGGCCGTCTGATGCTTGCGGTCCATGTGTCGCTGACATCTGTTCCAAGGTGACGACTGATGCAAGTGGTTGCGCGGATCAATAATGCTTACTTGACTTTGCGGGAAAGATATTGTCAATATAAAGATATATAGACGTCATCTGCGTCTCACATTACCATGTGAGAAACATTTTTAACACATTTCCATTAATATTGCACTGATGCCAGGCGTTGTTCTCAGTTCTAACGAGTTTATTCTGACCGCTGATCTCAGTACCCGCTCATTTCCTTGGTATCATCACATTTTGAGCATAATAACGAGAGAGCGTTGTTGTAATGTCGAGAAGAGCTTTCTGACTTTCCACAGAGTTTTTCAAGCTGCATATGCATCGCGAATGCGGCCGCTTTCATAAGCCATTCAGATACAGTTTCGCAAAATCGTACGATAATTATATTCACTAACAGTTGCACGAACTGAACGTAGACGTAACAGTTGGATGCCCATTCCCTTTAAACACAGGTAACGAACTAAAACTGCAAAAGGCCTAGGAAACAGCAGCCAAATGACTATAAATGCGACCTGTTGCTGAAAATGGCGCGAAAAACGTTTTTCTACGAAAAATTAAATACGACCCACGCCAGAAAAGATACTATAAACATAGTGGCTGAACCGTGATTCTTTCGTAGTAAAAAGTTTCCCGTTAAAACGACTGAACATTTCCATACAGTTAAATCGGAAATAAATTAAACATTTCATACAGTAAATATCTATTCCTTTTAATATGCTCATTTCGCATGATAAGAATTGCCATCAGTAGATGGCAGTGTAATAAATGATGAACAGAAATATGTAGAGGGTTCTTTCTTAAGATTATTTTGTTACGCAACTTTCGGCATCGACAAAGAAAATAGTGTCTTTAATACACTGCTTTTTCGAATGTTGCGCTGCATGTCGTCATAAATAACAGAGACCATGAAAAAATCAAGCTGTCAGCTAATAACATCAAAGTACTTACTGAACGGAAACGGCATGAACGGAGATCCGAACGGTACTTGTGGCGGTATTGAAGGTCCGCCTCCTTGGGTGGTCGAGGAAGGAAAAATTCCTTGCGTCCCCGGCGTTGCTGTAGACGTAGAAGGCTGATCGATAGTGGCGGAGGTAGAAGGAGTACGGTTGGTCGTAGCTGGAGGCCTCTGAGGAGGCGCCGGCTGATGAATAAAGTTCGGCGGAAGGAAAGGAAACGCTGCCGCTAGATTTGGCATTACTGAAACGAAATATTTGTAGCTATATGACAGATGAAATGAGTAAAGGCAAAAATTTGCTCGCATAGAGAAATACTCATCACGTAAAAAGTTGAACCACAACACAACAGTTTGATGAAAGAGCATCACTGCAGTGCAACGCTTTGAGGCAATCTGGGACCGAAACATATAGTCAGCATGGAACCAAGACAGTGACGAGTGATAAATAAGAAATATACTTAAAAACCCGCATTCATGGAGTTTTTTCAAAAACTTTCATTAAAGAACTGCCTGCATGTATAAATAAAAAGTACAGCATGAGCAGACATGCATATTTGACCATACGCACACTGAAAATTGTTCAAAAAGAGTACATAGTACTCACTGCATGGAAAAGATGAAGAAACGTCTCCAAAAATTTTCTCCTCATTCCATAACTAGATGGACGAGAAACGCTGAACAAAACTTTCACATACCTGGAGGAATCATGCCTTGGAATGGCGCGTTTATAGCATTTTGGGCGGCGACGTTCTCGCGTCCAGTTTCAGCAGTCGGTGCCATATTCGTTGACGCTTGCAAGATGTCCAGACGGCATGTAGGACACGTCTGCTGGCGCTGAAAGAGGGTATGCGTTTAAATGTGGCATTTTTAAAAGGTCTGCATCAAAGGAGTGAAACCAATGAACCAAAATACGTCAAAGTGTCGATTCACTTGAAAACAGGCTAAAGAGCCGAACTTAGTAAAGGGATAAAAATACCGAAGGGCCGACAAAGATTTATGCAATTATTATTACACGGCATTCTGAAGGAAAATAAAATAGGAACTGAAAAGTTTTTGGTTCTCTTAGCCATAAATGGGAAAGCCTTTAATGGAACACTGGGAAGCTGTAGCTTAGAGGTACAGTTGAAACCTGGAAATGGGGAAGATTATATCGTTATGGAATAATTTAATTACATTGTTGCTACACAAGAAGTGCGACTCGGAAGATCTTAACAACTCTTCCATAGTGCTTTTTTTCACGTCTATAGACTGTTCACAAAGAAAATTGCATATCGAATATCAGTCAATTTGGAAGAGCAGGCCGGATTTCAAAAGTTCTTCAACACAATCGGCAGCATTTACTTTGACCCAAGTATTAGAGCGTTTAACTGAACACAGAAAGTCCAGAAATTTGCCTTCGTCGACAACAATTATTCATGCTAAACCTTAATTTTGTTCTTAAAGCGTAACGTGTCCATTTGTTTAGATGCGCTACAATTTATTAATTCCTGTAAACTGACTTGAATGGACATAAAAAGCAACAGAAACGGCTTTTCTACGGACAGTGAAACATACTGGTTGGGCGATACAACGAAATATAATAAAAACGGCGTTCTGTGCTTTTACCTACGCACGACTAATAACACTAGAACAGAACAGTCGGTGTCTGAACTATGAGCCGTTTGGTTTGCATCACTTCGACTGTCCGCCGTTTCAGAAGGTCTCATTTCGTAGAACTCGCTAGACAAAGATTTCAACTGGCTCTTTATTGCTGTCGTGAAAGATCCGCAATGACGTTCTGCATAAGCCTCAAATGATGGTAGGTAAAACATGAATTTTTGGAAGTCGGTAAGAACAAACGTGAATAATTTTTAAGCCAGAGTCTGATTTAAGAACAAGCCAAGTAAAACAGCAAAAAAGCGACGTTTGAAATTTCAGCTGTTTGAACAAAATAACGGCTTTAGACGTGAAACAACCACATATATGTAGAAGACAACGTTTTTCCGAAAAGATGCAAAATTTAAACTCAATTGGAGTGTACTGAAAATGAACTGACAAAGAAGTTCTAATTCGTACGGTGAAACAAACTACTTGTAGTTAGGTATTTAAATATTCTAGGAAAGGAGGGACAACCAAAATGCATTGTCCTGAGGATGCTATACAGAAACAAATATGTTTGCAACAAAAAATTGAAAATTTGCGACGGGTGTAAACCTGAGCCTAACGTATATCAAAGACAACATAAAAGACAGTTCAGATATCACTACTGTCAGCAACTCTGCATTACAAGCACCGTAAATCACACAAGCAAAATGGTCCATCTAAAATATGATCGAATAGCGCGTTACCTGAAACCATGATCTCAAACAGGAAACGTGGAAGATGTGGTT